CATGTGTTCTATCTCTCGGCTCTGCTCCCCCTCCCAGGATGTCAGGTCACCCCTTCTGTCGCCTCCAGAAGCAGAGGACATCTCTGTCTGCCTTCTCCTCCCTGTGCTTACTGAGACTCTGGCCTCCCATGGGAAACATACCATAGTTTGTTATGTCTTTCTTCAGTTACTCCCACACCTAGTTTCTCATGCACCTTGGTCCTCACCAGCTTTCAATCGGCTGCTGGGCACCAGCAGAGGCAAAGGCACCTCATGAAACCGTGGCCCAGAGAGGTGGACAGTGGGGTAGGATTGACAGAGGACCGGAGCTCCACACCACACTTGCACCTAAACCACCCCCGCACACGCAGCTAAGACAATCCATGGGAAGATCCCAGAGCCAGCGCCACTGCTGCCAGCTGAGCGGCAGCGACCACAACCCACCGCCATTCCCCCAAAAAGACATGAGAAGGGAAGTAATTGTGAGCATCCACATATGGGAGGAGGAGTGGTGGGCCACAGGGACAGTCCTGGCGAGGTTGAGGACCAACATGGGCCTCCCACTGCACCACACGCATGCCCTAAACCCACCCCCACAAGTGGAGGAGGGAAAAGCACACATGAGGATGCCATCCCATCCTGTCCTGCCACACTGTGGTGATGCCTGCCACAGCTAAGGCAATCCATGAAAAGGGCCCAGCACGGGTCCAAAGCTGCCGCTGCACACAGTGACAAACTGTGATCTGCTGCCACTCCCCCATAAAGGGACGAGGGGAAAAACAAACAAATGAGCCATGCCCACGGGCAGGAGGAGGAGTGGTAGGCTGCAGGGGCAGACCAGGACAGAGCGGGTTGCTTGTCCTGGGCATGGGGGAGGGTGGCAGGCCTTGCCCAAGCCCAGCACCCAGCCCCACTTTGCCCCAGAGCCTAACCAACCCAGTCCTTGGATTCAATTCTTATCTCAAAGTTATGGTCCCCAAAAAGCATTAATGTAACCTTATGGGAACAACAAAAATGGGTGTTGCTATGGTTTCCAGACCTCTCATTTAAACCATCCTACACTTTTGGCCTCAACATAAAAAAAAAAATTCCTCAAATATTGACACTAGTCGTCCCTTTGTGTCACTGTGCTTGCCCTGGGACTCCCTCTGAGTTCCCTTCTCTAACTTTACAGACACTTCTCCAGGTGATGCATCCCATTGTTAAAAAGTAGCCTTTGTTAAAGAGGCTGCCTGCTTTTGGTAATAAAAGGCTAAAAGGTAGGATCCTAGAGTTTTTCTCACTGCATTGGTAAGGGTGGCCACAGTCTGACCAGTCACTACATTTCCTGGCCACAGATGGCAGAAAGAAATCATGAGATAGGGACACCTGCTCTTGTCAAGTCAATCCCCAGTCAGGACACCAAGAAGAGAGAAACTGATCCAATTTTTATTGTTGCTGTTCTTCTAGATGGGACCTGCCCCCCGTCTTCCAGCCTCAGTACCCAAGCAGTCTCTGCTGGTCTGTCTACCAAAATATTGGAAGCTCTTCTCCCTAAAAATCTCAAAAAAAAAAAAAAAGTCATCTTTCTTTGTACTGAGGCCTGGCCCCAATATCCATTGGGTAACCAAGACCATACTCCAATTAGACCTTTTCTGTAAAAAGGAAAAAAAGTGAACTGAGGTCCTCTATATACAGCTTTTCTTTTATCTCCAGACCACCCAGAATAGCTCCATAATTGCCATCTAGATACTCAAACACTGGCTGTTCTTTGTAAGCCACAGGATAAACATGGGAAAGGAGGACCAGAAAAGCCCCTTACCAGTGACAAGGTCCCCATCCCTACTGTTCCCTTTACTGCTCCACCCTCTGCCCCACCTTCTGAGCCACCCCAATATTTGGAACCTCCTAATGGATGTTTCCCACTTCAACAGGCAGCGGTAGGAAGAGGGTGAGTCTATGTCCCCTTCCAGTTATGATATCTAAGGGAGATTAAAAAGGATCTGGGTAGCTATACTGATGCCCCAGACCAATATATCCAGGCCTTTTTTTCTGTGATCCAAAACTTTGACTTGGCATGGAAAGATATCATGCTTCTCCTTGACAAGACTCTTTCCTCATTAGAAAAACAATGGATCCTGGCCCAGGCCACTCAGGTTGGAAACAATTTCCATCTATAACAAGCCCCAATACCCATGGCACCTGGAAATGAGGGAATAAATATGGCCATGCCCACAGAAGCACAGGTAGTCCCCTTGGCAGATCCACATTGGGATCAAAATGACGAGGAGGATGAATGGCATCAATGCCACTTCATCCATCTTATAGTGGAAGGGCTAAAACAGGCCAAAGCTAAACCTCTACACTTTTCCCAGGTGACTGTAGTACAACAAGGCCCTGAGGAAAACCCCCTTACCTTTCTACAGCACCTTAACAATGCTATCTGAAAGCATACCACAGTGGACCCAGAGTCCCACCCAGAGGTGGGAGAGGTTCTCCTCAAAGATAAATTTTTAACTCAGTCAGCCCCAGATGTTCATAGAAAACCTCAAAGTCTGGTCGAAGGGAAAAAGTTATTGGATGAACTAATGTAACTAGCCATGTCTGTATACTATAACCAGGACATCACAAGAAAGAGAGAAAAGGATAAAAACACACCATGACCTAATCACAAATCTCAGGGAGTGCCCCACATGACAGCGGTCTACATTTTGTGTTTGCTACCATTGTGGACAGGAGGGGCACTTCTGCAGGGAATGCCCAAAAGGGGAACAGACCGGGACACAGCCTTGGCCCCACCAGGACCCTGCCCTCTCTGCAAAGGTAACCACTGGAGATCTAAGTGCCCCCATCTCTAGGTGGAAGGTGGGGTGCCACCTCCTATGGATTGATGGGTCCTAGGGCCTCCTGTCCAGGCTCCACTTCTTAACATCAATGTTTAGGAGCCTCGGGTAACCAAAATAGTAGAAAAGCAAAAGGTTATCTTCCTCCTAGACAGTGGAGCCCATTTCTCTGTCTTACCATTCTCTCCTGGTCCCCGGTCCAATAACAAGGTTATCATTTGGGGAAAATCTTGCTAGTTCTTAGAGCACTATTTTACTTGACCTCTGGCCTGCTCTTGGGGAGACCTCCACTTCTGTCACTCTTTTCTCACAGTCCCTGAGACTCCAGTGCCCCTGCTGGGACGGGATTTACTATCTCAGCTAAAGGCTCAAATTCTACTCCCTCCAGGAGTCTATCTCTGTTGTCCTCCTTCAGGAACAAGTAGATCCCAGTGTGGACTGATGGAATGACTGTAGGGTGACTAAAAATGGCCTTCCCAATTCAAATAAAACTCAAAGATCCTTCACAGTTTCCCCATCAAAAGCAATATCACCTAAACCCTAAAAGATGACAGAGTATTTTGCCCATTATTAACTCCCTAAAATAATAGGAACTTTTAGTAAAATGCTTAAGCCCCTCTAACACTCCAATTCTTGCTGTCCAAAAAGGACCAGATAAATAAAAACTTGTTCAAGATCTCCAGCTCATGAATAAAGCAGTCATCTCCCCTCCACCCAGTTGTTCCCAGTCCCTATACTCTATTGGCTCAAATACCCTCAAAAGCACAATATTACTCTGTAATAAACTTAAAAGACACTTTCTTTTACATTCCTCTACATCCTGACGGTCAGTCTCTGTTTGCCTTTAAAGACCCCACTAACCCCTCACAACAGTGAGATAGCCAATTCATGGTCCTTCTGGAACAACATATGGAGCTGGGCTCCTTAAACACTACCTCTGGCTGGCTCCCCTTTTTATGCTCCTTCTAATATTCCTGTTTGGGCCTTGTATAATAAATGCTATCTCCAGATTCATATCTCAACAGGTCCAATGGATCAAATTCCAGCTACTAGTCAAGGAATACTCTCCTCCGCCTACACATGAGCCCTCAGTCCAGTTCTACTGGGGGGCCTCTGGAGACTACACGGTCAACCCCTGAGACAAGTACCACCATACATACCCTACCCCCAGCCCTGCCCCATTGCCAGCAAGAAGCAGCTAGACGAGTCATCGCCCCTCTCCCCAACAGCAGTTGGGTACTTGGCTCAGAGGGGGGACTTGTTGGGTCTGGGAGCCTAAAGGACAGATGAGTGAGTCAGTATCCCATCCCCATGGAGAACACTATGAGCCCTGCACCCTGAGAAGGAATTACATGGTCTCATAAACCTGCCGCAGGGCTGGGAAACACAATGCTCCCAAGGTTGTTTCCCCCATAAGGGGCAAAAAGACCAGCTCATCAGAGCCCATGTACGTGAATCCATGGCCAATGGGAAAAACCCACCTAACCCTCACCCTAAGCCAGAGTTAAAGCATCCATAAAAAGCCCCAGCCTTCACCTGAGCAGGGAGCCACCGGTTTCCGGGCTCTGCTGCACTGCTCTAGCTGTAGCCTTTCCTTTCTCTCTAATAAATCCTACCTTGTGTACCAGCCTTGTCTCATGAGTCAATCAGCTGCCTCACGAGCCAGTTCTCTGGCTTATGAAGGCAAGAACCCTCAACACTGGCCCACAGCGTTTCACACCAGCATGTAGCTCTACCAACTATAACACTTGAATGTACACTTCAGAGTAAAGGTTTAAAAATACCAAGAAATTAGGAATCACCTTGTGATTTAAAAACAGAGGTTGAAATGCTTAAGGGAGTCTTTCTATGATGATCATGACTGGGAGACTTACTCTCCTTCTTTAATTGACGACTTTTTTTTTTTTTTAGAGTTTGAACTCAGAGCCTCATGATGGCACTCTACTACTTGAACCATGTCCCCAGCTCTTTAGTTGGTGACTTCTGATTCCCCATGGGCAACTCTTCTGTTTAGGGCAGTTGTTTTGAACGCAGGAAACTACATAGTTAGCTATTACCTGTGTAAATGACCTGTGAATGGTTTATGACTCCAAGGCTAAGTGCAGTGACTCACAAGCAGCTAGTCAATGTTTACTGATATTCTAGATCACTTATGCACCCAGATTTTCTGGGAAGCTGTTAATCTCATTAACTTCTTACCTGCAGGTACCAGTTGAATCAAGAGGAGCACACCTCCTCCCCAGAAGAGTACCCCAGCTATGATATAACGCCTGGGCAGGGTCCTTAGTAACAGCCAGGCTGTGATGTAAGCTGGAACTTCAATCAGGGCTGAGAGGAAACAGTTCAGGTAAGCATCTCCATGTAAATTAGGAACATTGAGAGACAGAGCAAAGTAACCCACTGAGGTTAGCATCCTGAAAGATAAAAGACAAAGGATAAAAATACAAAAGGATGGCCAAAATCACTCTAAAACTTTGTGATAATCAAGAGGCTGTTCCTATAAGCAGCCATTAGTCACATGTGGCTATTTAAATGGAAATTAAATTAAATTACAAATTCAGCCCCTCACTTGAAATGACATGCTTTAAGTGCTCCATAGCCACATGTAGCACTAGTGGCTACTATATTGGAAAACATATTCTGCACTTATTCCATCATTGTAGAAAAGTGCTGTTGGACAGTGCTAGCCTAGATCTACTACTATTCAACAGTGCAGAATCCTCTGTGTAGAAATTTACTTATTATTCATATGGCTGAAAAGGACAGGATATCTGAAGGATGTTTTCAGGAATATTGGCTCTCTACATAAACTAGACCAAGGCGGGTAGCACAAAAATGAATCCAAAACCAAATGAAAAATTCAACTTTAGTGCCTTAGGGATCTTAGCAATTTTCACATGTAGGAATAAGGGCAGCATGGATGGAACTAGTGACTTCTTGGTTATTGGCTCAGAAGTGGTCACTGGCCGATATACATCTGCATCAATGATATCTGTAGACATGTCAAAATGAAGGCAGCCCATAGTGAGGATGGCCATGTGCCCAGGAGGCACTTGCTTAATTTAGAGACATAAGCACTCTTATTGAGTGCCCAACAGCATGGCTCTAAACAGACTGGTTATAGCATATACCTACCAGTTCTGATGACTGTCTTTTTTTTGTGCTGCTGTCATGGGGTAGACAGTTTTTTCTTTTTCTTTTCTTCTCCATTTTTTGGAAGATACATTATTAAATCTAGCCTACACATACATTCTTTATTTCTGTGTCTTAAAAGCACTTGTTAGTTTGCTACTGGCAAGTGTAAAACTCTGGTCAGGATTCCAGTTTGGGCAAGGAGGATCCAGGTGATTCTAAACTCACTGCTTGATGGCTGCTTCAGCTTCAGGAAGCAGGAGCTGATTTAGTACCTTGGCTTTAGTCCAGGGGCATGATTTGTCTTCATCCCATAAATCTAAGAGGGAAGGGAACCCATCCCCTGTAGGTACCCATACTGCAGACTTAATATTGTTCCCTGTAATTTTTTTCAGTTTATAGCCTCATATATTTGCTAAATAACTTAGAATTCTATAATTTTTATTCTGCTGCCTTGCCATGTCTTGCTGGATTAAAGAAAATCTATTGCTTACTTAGGTGCTCTGTGTCTGTGTTTCCAGATCACTTATTGCTTACCATAGCAGTAAAGACATAATGGTTATTGTGGCAATATTCCAAGTCCTGAACAGGTCCAGAATGAACACTTTCTGCTGCTTCAAGGAGTTCAGCTCCTGTAGCTAAAAGAATGCAAATAACCATGACAGTAAGAGGTAGTCAGGAAGTATCTTCAGCCATGATGTATGGAAAAAACTTACACCTGCAGCTCTTATTCTACCTTGAATATGCCTAGAAGTCTGAAAATTGGGGAGAGTAAGGGCATCTCCATATGTGATGCTTATTCCAATACTTTAAAATGTAGCCCCTTTTAGACAGGTAACATCAGCCATACTCTCTTCTTATTCAAAGCCTGACCATCCACACACAGCCTTTCCTTTACTCATGGTCATCACTGTGGATGGCCTTTATCACACTGTGCCGTGATTCTGGGTCTGTTGAGTGGAGAGGTCATGTAGCCCCAAGTCCTGGAGGTCATGTCTATTTTTCTTGATGTCTCTCTCTCTCTCTCTTTTTATGGTACTGAGGATTAAGGTCAGGATCTTGTGCTTGCTAGGCAAGTGTTCTGGCTACCATTTGAGCTATGCCTTTAGCCCCTGTTGCTGTCTTTAACATCAGAACAGATTCTGGTTAACTGTAAGACCTTGGGCAAGTTACTGTTTATCTTCTTTGAGCCTCAGTTTACTTTTCTTGTAAAATGAGTATAATTGAGAGTTGAAAAGATTAAGTGAGATAACATATATAAAAATTACCATTGTAATAGAATCATAGTAAATGCCCAATAAATTTTAGCTATCATCATGATCACTATCATTATTATTATTATTATTATTACTGTACCATTGAGGAAAAGATGCTAGCCTTCAGTGATTAGCAGCAATTTCTTACTATTATCAATAGACTTCATTCTTTTACTTTTACTCTGCTGATGTTCACATGCCATGAGTTATGAATTTAGATAAGTAAACTGAATGAGTTGAAGTTAAAATAAAAGTTGCAAGGCTGTCCAGGAGATCTCTTGGAGATAAAGTAAAAGGCTTTGTAGCCCTATGGTGAGCATGCAGTAAGAGGCTGAGGAAAGAGTATCTCTTGGGAAGATGTGAGGGGGTTCGGCCTGCCTTTGTAGCAGGTGCTTCCTAAATGTTATCAGCATCCTTCTTCCAGGATAGTCAAGACACTCGCACAGCCCACAGCCATGTTGCCTTTTCTCTTCTGCACTATTTGGAGAACTTGCCTCAAGCAGTATGACCCTAGTCATCACAAAGCAAAGCCACAGCATCAACTAGCAGAATAAGAAGTCCTCCTGCAGGGCTCTTGGAGTGCCACACATTGACAGGACCTGAAGGTCATGCTGGGTCAACATTTGGCACTTCTATAGGGCCTTGTGGAAATGCAGACTGCCAAATCCCATGCTGGGCCCACTTAGTTTGTCTTTCATGGGGCCTGGAAACCTGGAAATCTGTATATTTAAAACTACTTGAGTGATCGTGATAAAGAGTTATGTTTAGAAACCTCAAAACAAGAATATTCTTATATCCAGTGGTTATCCCTGTCCTGGGTGGAGCCACAAAAATGTAGATGAGATACATGAGCAGTTGAAGGTGTTTCTTCCAAAGCCAGAGAAGCTCAAGATTGCTTTCCAAGATGATGCTACTCTAAATATTTTCCTGTCCAAGTTAATGCCACTGCCCCTACAATGAAGTAAAAAAAAATCACATGCATTTTGACACCAGAGAGACTTAGGTTACAAATCCCAGCTTAATATCCAAGTGATCTTGGACAAATTACTTAACTTCTATATGCCTCAGTCTCCTCTTCTGAAAAAATGAGGCCAGTTTAGTTTATGCTAGCAGTGGCTAGCATAGCAGTGAGTGGGACATACTGCCTGGCATCCGGTGGGCTCTTCGTTCTCATTCTGAATGGGCTGCCTGCTGGTGCAGGGCTATGCAGGCCTTCCCAAAGATCCACCAGGGCAGTGAGCAGGAGAGATGACTGGGCCTCAGGAAGGCATAAGCTCCCTTTCCCTAGGTGGATTTGTGGTTCAGGATACTGGTACATTGTGGCAAGAAAAAGAAACAAGGTGCAATCGAAGCATGTGTTTTGACACTGAGTTGTATTCTCATTTGTCCATAACTATATATCTATTTTATTTTTACTGGCTTTTTTTTTTTTTTTTTTTTGGTGGAATTGGTGAGATTGAACTCAAGGCCTTGCTAAGCAAGCAACCCCAGTCCTTTTGCTTTTAGTTTGTTTTTCAGATAGGGTCTCCTGTTTTTGCCTGGGCCAGCATTGGACTGTAATTCTCCTACCTCCACCTTCTGAATAGCTGGGATTACAGGCCTGTACCACTGCATCTGGCTCCTATGATGTTTTTGTTTTTTGTAGTTCTGGGGCTTGAACTCAGGTCCTTCACCTTGAGCCACTTCACTAGCTCTTTTTGTAATGGGTATTTTCGAGATAGGGTCTCATAAAGTATTTGCCCAGGCTGGCTTCAAACTGTGATCCTTCTGATCTCTGCTTCCTGAGTAGCTAAGATTGATTACAGGCATGAGCCACCAGCGCTTAGCTCTATGATGTTTTCTTTCATCTGTGTTGGTCTGGTCTCTACAATTAGACTATATACATTTCTCTTTCTTTTTTTTTTTGTTGGCAGCACTAGGGTTTTAACTCAAGGCCTCATGCTTGCTAGGCAGGCGCTCTTACCACTTGAGCACTCCACCAGTCCTTTTTCTGTGATGGGTTTTTTCAAGATAGGATCTCATGAACTATTTGCATAAGGCTAGCTCTGAACTGCGATCCTCCTGATCTCTGCCTCCTAAGTAGTTAGGATTATAGGTGTTTATTGGTATTTATTGTTTATGTAGTATCAGGCTAATAAACACACATCCCTGAAAGGCAGAAGTGTTAGACACTCTCGGTGCTATTTTTGTATCCAGTTAAGTTAAGTAAGACTAGAAATGGATTTTTTTTTTTTTTTTGGAGTTGGTGTTTGAACTCAGGGCTCTGTGCTTGCAAAGCAGGTGCTTTACCCACTTAAGTCATGCCTCCAGTCCATTTTGCTCTGATTATTTTGGAGATGGGATCTTGTGATCTATCTTCCCTGGCTAGCCTCCAACTGCAATCCTCCTGATCTCAGCCTCTCAAGTAACTAGCTAGATTATAAGCATGAGCTGCCAGCACCCAGTTGGAAATGAACTTCTTAATTTAAAGGGCAAAGGATCAAGGATGTCCTGGAAGCCCTTTGACAGCTTGGGTTCCTGGCCACTCTAATTAAGCTTCCATCCATGGTCCTGATAGGCAGGGATAGAGGAAGCACTCAGGGTGGAGCACAGGCACGCTCACCATTCTCTGGAGTCCTGCTTCCTGGGGTAGCCAGTGGTGCAGACTTCAGCAGTGGTACATACTGAAGTGACTGTGGCATCTTCTTCAAGTGTCCTGAGAGTCCCCTACCAGGAATGCTAAGTGAAGCCTACTGTCCTGGCATGGACCTGCTTCTTTACTTGCTCTCTCTCTCTCTCTCTTTCTCTTTCTCTCTCTCTCTCTGTCTCCCTCCTGCTGGCACAGTGTCCACCCATTGGATCCCTAGTGTCTCCTACCTTATGTCATCATTTATCTTTTTCATCTAACCCTCTTGCTCTCTTAATTGCATTCTCTGCTCATTTAGCATAGAACATGTATTTCATTTCTCTTGTCTCCTCTAGAGACCAGCATAGCATATCCTTCCTTTCACAATGTGTGATGCTTCCATGGAATGCCAGCTTTTCCTCATGGCCATGTGCCTTCAGGGTGGAGCCTTGAGCCTGTGCTCTCAGGCTTTAACGCCTCAGACAGGACACATAGCCAAACTAAAGATACACATAGCTTCCTCAGCAGGCTTTTGTTAAGATTCAGGGTGCAGTGGGGAACGCAGGATGGAATAGCCCTCAAACACATTTTTTTCCCATTTAATCTGGATATTCAAAAATCATCAGTACTTAACCATCTCAATGGTTTGTAGCAATGCCAGTAAAAAGTTGGTAATAAACTCATAAAATGAAGGAAATTGCTTACTAATTACTATTTTTTGTGGTGTTAGGGATCAAACCCAGGGCCTCACACATGCTAGGCAAGTGCTTTACCACTGAGCTACATCCTCAGGTATTGTACTTAATTTTTAAACAGCCCATCAAAGTGGATTTAAAAAGAAGAGATCGTGTTTTGCTATATTGCCCAAGCTGTTCCCAAACTCTTGGGCTCAAGAAATCCTCCTGCCTTGGCTTCCCAAGCAGTTGGGACTACAAGTATTTGCCACTGAACCCAGCTGGAGTTTTTTTTTTTTTTTTTTTTTTTTTGTGGTATTGGGGTTTGAACTCAGAGCCTTGTGTTTGCTGGGAACGTGCTCTACCACATTAACCATGTCCCCAACCCTTGTTTTGCTTTAGCTATTTTCTGGATAGGGTCTTGTGTTTTTCCCCAGGCTGGCCTGGACTACGATCTTTCTATTTATGCCTCCCATGTAACTAGGGTGGTAAGTACATGCCACCATACCCAGTTTTATTGATTGAGATGGAGGTCCCACTAACTTCTTTGCCTGGGCTGGCCTTGAACCTCGATCCTCCAATCTTCACCTCCTAAGTAGCTGTGATTACAGGTGTGACCCACCATGCCTGGCCTCAGCTGGATTTTATTTCAGAATATAATAATTATTGTGTTCCTAGTGCAGTATCTGGTACACAGTGGGCACTTAACAAATATTGAATTAAATAAATTACATAAAACCAATAAGGCAAAAAGAGAAAAAAAAAAAAACAATAATGCACACCTGGCCGGGCACCAGTGGTTCATGCCTATAATCTTAGCTACATGGTAGGCTGAGATTGGAAGGATCACTGTTGAAGATGAAATAGTTCGTGAGACCCCTATCTCCAAAACAGCCAGAGCAAAATGGAGTGGAGGTGTGGCTCACGTGGTAAAGTACCTGCTTTGCAAGTGTGAAGACTTGAGTTTAAATCACAGTCCCACCAAAAAAAAAAAAAATGCACAGTTGATCTCAAGAAGAAACATCTGCAAATGCTTACCTCCACCGGATCGAATATCACTGCTGGTGCAGCTATCTTATTCATCTTTGCAGCCTTTTGGATGATATCTTCAGCCTCTCTAAATCTTCTCTGGGATATCAGCCACCGGGGAGATTCAGGAATAAACCTAGAATTCATTTTCTGTGGTTTATAATTTTTCATAAAAGCAAGGTTTGATACTATCAACCTTAAACTTCCCCTACATCATCTCAATATTATAAAATACTACTTTGTCTCTTTTTAAACTACACATATTTCGGGCATAGAGTGTGACATTTCAACACATGTGTACAATGTGTAATGATAGGAGGGTCTTTTAAAAGATCACCAGGAGGGTGATCTCATCTTATAAGATGAGAGTTGTTTATAGGAATAAATAAAAAATCCTTCAAGTTTCAAACTTCTGATCAAATTGCAGGACCAATCATCAGTTGTGCTTGAGACTAGGACAGACCATTAGGGATGACCTTAACTGTGTGTGTGTGTTCAAGCCAGGGGAAGAGGCAGAAGGCCATCTGAAACTGAATAGCCAGTGTGGCGTCTAAAAGAAACACGGCCACAAGTGTCAGTGTCGCAAGACAAGGACGGTCTTTACAGTCATCCATTTCCAGGAGGTTCCTGATGCTCCAGCTAGTGCTGGTCACGTGCTTCTTAGGCGTAAAGGACGGCCAAGGGACCTGTGCTCCCCAAGCTTTTCCTTGCCATTAAAAGGGGAAGGCAAGGGCACTGTCACTACCCAGAGGCTGTCTCCATGACTTTCAGCAGATTCCCTGATTGGTCAGTACCCTAACCACTTTTTAGCTGAGACCCCATGTTGTCTTCATTTTTAATGTCTAAAACTTAATTTAAAAAGATTAAAGTCTATACACATTTATAACTGATGTTTAAACACAGTTGCAAATATATACTACTCTGTTCTCTCCTAACTTTTATTTCTTAGACTCTTTTAGGCATTCTCCTGCCAGATTTTGTTTTCCTTGCCTACACATTAGTACTTAGTTATCCTAGAAAATAAATTACAAGAAACAGATACTGTGGCCTCCTACAGTTAATAGGCCTCAAAGTTGCACAAGGAATTAGCTCAGAGAAAAACACAATGTATCAAAGGCCAATCCCCAGCAACCTTCCCCAACCTACCAGCATATGGGTTGGAAAATGAGCCCAGTTTGCACTTTTCATAGTCTGTCCCTAGTTGGTCCCTATAGAGAGCTGCACTGTCCAACAGAAACTTCTGAAACTTCCTGTATCTGTGCTGTTCAACCCAGTAGCCTGTAACCACATGTGGCTATTGAGTGACTAGTGTGATTGAAGAAATGAAAATTAGCTTTTTTTTTTTTTAGTGGTCCTGGAGTTTGAACTCAGGGCCTTGTGCTTGCTAGGCAGGTGATCTACCACTTGAGCCATGTCATCAGCCCAACTTTATTTACTTTTAATTAACTTTAATCTAAACAGTCACATATGGCTGGTGGTTATCATATTAGTACAGAATTAGAGGTCTTACCTCACAGGCTCTATATACGTCATGGATGTCTCTACCTATGAGTTGCATCTTTCCCCAGGCAAGTTATGCTTAGAAATATTCTACCTTCCTTTCTAAAGCCTCTGAGGGGCATCATTGGCCTCAGATTCTTAATATTTAATCAACCAGAATTGCAAAGTTTTCTCCCTTTTGCATTTATGGCCTTCTTCCCCACCCACTATTCCACCCCTAACATATGTAGATACTTGCACCTGTGGCCATTTACTGCCAAGCCTTTTAAATGGAAGTTGAGACATAATAAAAAAAAATTCCAAACCACCTGCAGTGGTTCTGTGTAGGTTTCCCTCCCATTCCCAGCCCACTGTACTCAGGGTTACTGAACCCTACTTTCAAATTGCCTTGGTATTTTGTTGTACATCTTTAGTCTAGCTGATAATCTCAAAAGCTAGTGGAGTGCTAAGTGAGATTGCACGCTATAGTGTCTCTGTAGATTTATTTCAGACGGACAGAAGTAAGGTATTGCTGGAGAGTCTATCACATCCTGAACAGGTGGCAGGTACACTGCACCCCCCACCCCCGCCATTACCTCAGTCCACTAGCTGATGCATAGTGCTCGAAAAAGGCCCACCCTCAAGGACGAGATGTTGACAAGAAAGTTGTTTTGTTTTTGCACAAAAATAAAAAGATTGCTGGTAAACTTCCAGGATGAGCAGTCAGCTCATGAGTGCTGCCCTCTGACTGCCCTCTGTGCAGGGCAGTCTTGTCCTTGGTACAGTGTGCCCATATCCAGGTGGACCAGCCCGTGGGTAACAGAAAAAGAACGCTCCTTAGGGCAGAGTGAAGCAGCTTCTTGTGAAATGGGCATTCCTGCTGGAACTCTGGGTGCTGCTATGCTCTGCAGTCCTGAGGCAATGAGGCAATGAGCTGCCAATCTCTTATGGGCCACCAGAGCTCTTCTGTTGCTATCCTATGTCTGTCTGTCTGTCTGTCTCATAGAATTATATAATAATAAAGTTTACTCCGATGTATTTTTAAAGTACTGATTTTCTTGGGCCAAAATGACAACCACAGCCAGGAAACATAGATTATGAAACTCACTCATCTGCAGAGGCAGAAAATAACCTTGTCTTTTGCCTTGGGTCACCAACGTCTTTACCAGTAGACTTAGTTAGCAAGGGGGTTGTGGAAAGAGGGACGGGGAGGATGTGAGGAGGAAAAGGAGGATGATTGCTCTCATTTCAGAACACTGCTCTGCTCTTGTAATCTGGGTCTGCTGACCCTCAAACTGGGTTCCAGAGGACACTTCCAAATAAATCAGGGTAATACTAGCTTTTAAAAAACCCTCAAATTCCAGGGAATTAAGAAAAACAAAAAGTTCTGTCTCTACATACCACCCATGCCCTCACCTGTACATACACCTCATCCCCAAAACTTACCCTGGTAAACTACAGCAACCTTAGAGGTCATGAGAAGACAGTGGCTTGGAGTAGTCCTTGTCTGAACAAGGCCAAAATGGGCTACCTGTCAATCTGTGAGTGCCTAACAGCTGCAGCAAGGTAAAGGATCCTCTAGACAATGTCCCAGGTAAATGTGACATGGCAACCTTGATGTCTGACCTAAACTGTGAACTCCCAAAGAAACTTTTATTATATGATCATGTAAGCAGATAGAACTCAAGCAGTTCAGTAAAGCCAGTCACTACTGGAAGATTTGATTTTGACATAATGAAATCAAACCAAGAAGAACAGAGAAAGAGAAACAGCCAGACCTACCAATAGTAGAAATTCCCTTTTCTTATTGAAATGGAAAAATTTTAAAAAGGTAGTGGAGTAAGGCTGTGACATTATTCTTTTTTTTTTTAAATTTTTTTGTGGTACTGGGGCTTGAACTCAGGGCCTACACCTTGAGTGACTCCATCACCCTTTTTTGTGATAGTGGTCTTGGAACTATTTGCCCAGGTTGGCTTCTAACCATGATCCTCCTGATCGCTGCCTTCTGAATAGCTAGGAATACAGGTGTGAGCCACTGTGCCCTGCTCCATTATTCTTAATCTGTTCTTTCACCTAAAATCTCCAGTTAGTCATATTGGGGAAGAAGGCTAGAATCTCCAAACTTTGTTATTCACATAACTGTTGTGTCAAAATTGAGTTGGGGAGGGGCTGCTGGGAGTTCAGCTCAGTGGTACAGCACTTGCCTAGGGTGCTTGAGGCCTTGGATTCAAGAAATAAAAAAGAGTTTGAGTTAGGGATTGTGGGAGAAGAGACTACTTCTCTAACAACTCTTTAAACAAAAGTAATTCTCTCTTTCTCTAAAATAAAGTGGATTATGGGCTCACACCTGTAATCCTAGCTACAGGCAGAGATGAGGAGGATCATTCAAGGCCAGCACAAAGAAATAAATTAATAAGATCTTATCTCGAAAATATCCAATACAAAAAAAAAAAAAGAAGAAGAAGAAAAGAAAATATCCAATACAAAAAAAGAGCTGGTGGAGTGACTCAAGTGGTAGAGCACCTGCCTAGCAAGCATGAGGCCCTGAGTTCAAAACCCAGTGCTGCCAAAAGAAGTAACATAAAATAAAATTAAAAAATGAAATAAAGCAGATAAAAACCAGGCACACCTTAAATACTAATCATCATGAGTAATCACATGTCTCCTGGTATCCAAGGGGGCTTGGGGATTGGGTCTAAGACCCCCTGCAGATATCAAAATCCTAGCTGCTCGCGTCCCTTATATAAAATGGCATAGTACTTGCAGGTACTCTATGCACAGCACCTGTATCCCTGGAATCGCATCTAGATTACTTGTACTACTAACACAATGGACGTACATGCTTTGCAGGGGGTGCTGAAGATTAAGTCTTCTCTGCTGTAGCACTGAGCTACTCCCAGCCCCTTAATACCTAACACAGTGTAAATGCCCTTTAAGTGGTTGTTATACAGTATTGTTTAGGAAATAATAAGAAAAAAGTCTGTACGGGTTCATACAATATTTTGCCATCCTCTGTTGTTTGAACCCACAGGTGCAGAACCCCTGGATGCATAAGTTTGACTGTACTGTAGTTGGATAGAGAAAGATTTTCTAGAGAGAGGAAAGTGCCAAAAGCAGGGGGCAAAGTTAAAAACAAAACCCAACAATGCCATCTCCACAAACAACAACAACCACCAGCCAGAGCCTAGAGTGGGGAAAGCCTGGGAGAGGAAATTCCTGAGAACAGGGCTATTGGGGATAATGGACAATCAAACCCCAGTGCATAAAGAGATGGCAACTCTTCCAGCTTCTGCCTAGCCTCGGAAGGCTCCCGGGCTAGCTCCAGTGGGGGGCTCGCTGGCCCAGCTAGGTCACACCTCCTCAGCTCCAGGTGCGCCTGCAGCTGCAGAGGGCTGACTGGGAAGAGTCACACTCACCACCACAGCGGGACGCACAGCACTCCAGGCACCGTCAGAGCCAGCAGCAGCATCCGCCAGTCTCTGATGAAGTAAGCAAACAGTGGCAGCACCATGTAGCCAATTGCAAAAAACGTGCACACGCCTAACGTGGAGAATATAATGCGAACTGACTTGCCAAGAATTTCAGTTCCTGTTTAAAACAAGGGAGGAGCATCAGCATTTTAACTCACTTTAGTATTTGTTTTCTGTACCATTACCTGCAAGTTGGAGTTCAACCCATCACCACTTAGAAAAGAAAAAAGGATTTTTGTCTCATGGCCCAGAGCTGGAGTATCAGGGTGGAGGGAAGGGGGATGGAATCCCAGACTTATCAACCTACAGATGAGTGGATTTTTCTGAGATTTTTAAAGAAACTATCACATCCAGCCTAGGAGGTCATCTTTTTTAAGAATGCCACACTTTCAGAATGAAAGACCTGTGTGAGAATCAGTCTTTCTTGTCCTGCAGACAAGAGGTGGCTCTTTGAGGGGCTGGGTGGGGTAAGGGTGTGGTTAGCCTGCTCCACAACTCTCAACTGTAAGTAAACAGACATTGGCCCGTCAGGAAACTGTGGCATGTTCACAGTTTCCTAGCAGTTAGGACTCCCTGCCCCCCCTTGAGTCCTGAAACATAATAAATAGCAGCCAGTTGGCTCTGGCCATGCCCAGAGCAGGTCCCCAACACCAGGAATCACTTCCCCCACAGCCTCACTGTGCCTAGGGATCTGCCCCAGGCAAAGTCAGTCCTGTCAGACCCAGACAGAAAAGAAGGAGCTGTTCTGCTGTCCTTGTAGGCGACATTCCTGGAGCAGGCCACACACCCAGTACAAAGGCCAAGACTGCAGGAGGTTGGCACTGTTTAGGAAAGGTCGGCTGGCAGCTGAGGGCACCTGCTCTGCATAGGGCCACAGTGGATCACTTGGCACCAGGTCTCCCAGAGATGCTGCCTGTCCCTCAAGCTCTTTCTCGAGGCAGGGAGCCCAAGCACAAGCTCCTCTTGTCACAGAGCTCCAGGCCCTTCCCAGAGTTTGCTCTGGGTCCTCTGCCTCAGGGACAGAGATGTGGTCAACCGCCATGGATCTGCCTTTTTTATGAGATCTGCCCACACTACAGAGAAGTAGCCCAGAAAATGCAACACAGACAATTCCAGCGTCATTTAGCTTAGCTTTCTAGAGAGAGTTCTTAGTCCCCAGCACAGGTCAAGGAATTAACTCCAGAGAAGCAGCCATATTATCACTTCTGCTGGTCTCCCATTCCCAGATCCTACCTGTTCCTGTCCCACCCACCCATTCATTCTCCCTCCCTTATCAGAACTGAGCGGCCTGCCTCAGTTGTTCCCTCTTGAGCAACTATTTAAAAAGCCAGACTGATAGAGAGGGCCTCTTGCATCCCACAGTGCACACCATAGCCCTAGCCCCCCAGGGCCTATAAACTCATTTCCAAGATGGGGCTTGACTTCTTTGAGGATCATGAATGCTGTTTCCTGCTCTTTTCTTGCTTTGTGAATTATCTTTCACCATGCCCTAATTCCTGAACTCTGGCTATGGTTATGATATGACTATGAATTCAGGGTGCTTTATTCCTAAAATTAATTAATTTAATTCCTAAATTAAGAAGAACAGTAGTAGAGAATTTGTTAAAGTGCACAGGACCAAGTGAGACTCTTATAGAATTATGAAGCCTGAGGATTACTCCTTATGCCTTCATAACCTTGATAAAGAGAAAGAAGTTGCACCTCTGGCTCCTGGACAGTCTTTCTTTACACTTGGATTTTAGACCAGAACAGAGTTGTTATAACCTTGCAGAAGACCTGTGGGGAACAGAAGCTTTGTAAACCAATCTTTGTCCCTTCCTGTGGAACAACATGGATGGTAGAAACACAAATTTTGTTAGAAGAACTACCTTCTGCACTCTAACTCTTTTGGGGTTTGAACTCAGGGCCTCATGCCTGCTAGGCAAGCCCTCTACCACTCGAGCTGTTCCACCAGTTGCACTCTTAACTCTTAGGCAACCATCCTTCCTTAAACTTGACCATCAGCTTCACAGCTAGCACTTTGCTGAGTTGGTGCTTTGAGCCACATTCTACTCTAAGTGCTTAAATATATTATCTCTTTGATTCTTCACAATAATTATATAAGAACTAGAGTTGTTCCTATTTTATACATACTCAGCTGAAACTTAAAGAGTTAAGTCCACATGCCTAAATTCAGTCATCTCTAACAAGTGTTGTGGCCAGGATTTAAACCATATCTGTTTCACCTGAGGGTTCTAGTCTGGTCTTCAAGAAAAATGTCACCCGGGACAAAGCCTTGGTCCTTTAAAGCGATCCTTAAATTGAGATTTTAGTGGAGACACAAGGAAAGATGGGTGAGGCTGTGCACCCCCTAACCCCATGCCCCTTCAGAAGCAAGAATTTGCATTTTCCCTTCCCAGTCTGGTTAACCAGACTAGAGGCCAACCAGTGCCCTCTGGGGATCACTAGGAGAGGAGTCCAAGTCCTGCAGATCCCTCATGGCCTGCAGCTGTCACAGGCTTTTCCGGTGTTCACCTGGCAGTGAGACAGGTGCCAGTGGTGCCTCCTGGCCCCGCTTATTGGGGACCTCATCCTTCCTTCTCTGGCCTGTAGGTTTTTGCTCCTAGGACAAAGCCTAACTGGACTTGGTCTGGTTGGCCTCTGAGTGTCCCCTGAGAGTGAAACTCTGACATCCATGCCAAAAGCCATGTCCTGGCCAGGATGAGGGCCTGAGGAGCCCTAGGAGAGTGTGTCCATTAGCTGTCACCTCCATCTGACAGGCTCCTGTCCATGTAAATCAGGCTCTTCTTTGCTAATCAGTCTCAAGAATCACTAGGCACATTTCACATGGAGGCCAGGGCTTGTGCACCTCCATGAATGACAAAGGAACCTGCAGCAGGAAATGGAACTGAGACATACAGCTGCTGAGATACAGGGGGAGGGCTTTCCATCAGGCACAGGGAAAGAGCAAGGGCTTTTGGCTAAGTCCCTACTAGAGGGACTTTCATGAGTCCTGCTTCATGGAGTTACGGATGTGAGAACTGGTAATGTTGCCAATCACCTAGCAGTGTGACTGGCACATGGGAGATGCTCAGGAACCATTTATCGCTTTATCCTGAAGTGTGCAGGTGGCAGGGGGATGAAAGAAAGTACAATGCCTTTGACCTAAAGGGATTTCAGGGAAAAAAGGGAAGACCCTTTGTTCTCCTGAAAATGCTCAGAAATCTCATCAAACTAATAGAGGATCTTCTGCTCAGGGCTTCCCCTGTCTTCTCCACAAATCTTCATCGAACAGTCTAGTCAGAAGTAACCTTTTCTATCTCTGCTTATACCCACCAATGTTATCTACCAATGTCCTCTTCCCAATCAGACAGTGAGCTAGCTCCCTGTGAGTTGATAGGAGTGAGTCCTTGCTCCTGCATGGGTCCTCCTGCTTCTTCTCTTATTCTGCACAGTGCAAACAAGGGACTCCAGCAACTTTTGAACATGTTTTCCTACTTATCCCTCCATTCAGCCTTTGAAGATTTTAAGGCAGTTTATAATTTAAATACAATAAAACATAGGCAGGTGCTGGTGGCTCATGCCTGTAATCTCAGCTACTCCGGAGGCAAAGATCAGGAGGGTCATGGCTCAAAGCCAGCCTGAGTAAATAGTAGTTCACCAGGCCCTATCTAAAAAAAAACCCATCACTAAACAGGACTGGTGGAGTGGCAAGTGGCTCAAGGTGCAGGACATGAGTTCAAACCCCAGTACCGCAAAAACAAACAAACAAACAAAAAAAAACAATGGTAACATGAAAGGTGAAAGTAAAATACAAAGAAAAGTGAGGCAGGTGGGGTGGTTCAAGCTGTAAGAGCACCTGCCTAGCAAGCATGAGGCCCTGAGTTCAAATCCCAGAACCACCAAAACAAAACAAAAAAACAAAGGGAGGACTGGTTGGGAGGGGAGGGGAGCAGAAGAAGAAGAGGAGGGGAACAAGGGAGGGAGATAGGGAGTGAATAAGATCAAAGCAGATTTTATGCATGTGTGGAAATCTCATCCCAAAACCTATTATTTTGTACAATAAATTAGGTGTTTTTTTTTTAAGAATTAAAATAGCTGATCACTTTGAAAATAATCTGGCAGTTCCTCAAAAGGATGAGCATCGAGTTACCATATGACCCAGAAATTCCAGTTCTAGGCATATACCGAAGAGGGCTGAAGCCATATCCACACAAAAACTTACACTCAGATGCTCATAGCAGCAGTATTCACAACAGCCCTGAAGTAGAAATGACCCTGATGTCCGCTGACTGATGAATACATGACCAAAAGGTGTAGAGTTCATACAATGGAATATTGATTCATATTGCAACATGGATCACTCTTGAGAACATTAAATGACAGAAGCCAGTCTCAAAGGATGATTCCATTTGTATGAAGTGTCCAGAACAGGCAAATCCATAGAGACAGGAAGTAGATTGGTGGTTGTCGGGGGATAGGGGAAGAGGGCAATGACTGCTAATGGGTGGAGGGTTCTTTTGGGGATGATGAAAATGTTATGGAGCTTGAGTTGATGATTACAATCCACTTTGCAAAACACCACTGAATTGGACACTTTAAGAGTGAATCGTGTTATGTAAAGCTATTATTTCGGACTGAATATGTCCTTCCTATTATTTATACTTGAAGTCCTAACCCCCAGTGTGGCTGTATTTAAAGTAAGGGAGAAATTAAGGGTAAGTAGTCTTAAGAGTGAGGTCCTGGCAGGTGCCAGTGGTTCACGCTGTGATCCTAGTTACTCAGGTGGCAGAGATCAGGAGGATTTCAGTTCAAAGCCAGCCCAGACAAATAGTTTGCGAGACCCTATCTTGAATAAACTCATCACAAAAAAGTGCTGGCGGAATGGCTCAAGGTGTAGGCCCTGAGTTCAAACCTCAGTACCGCAAAAAAAAAAAAAAAGAGCAAAGCCCTGATCTGATAAGATTGCTGTTTTTATAAGAAGAAACACCTAAGTCCTGCTTCATGAACTCTTTTCTCTTCTCTTTCCCTCTCTGTGTCTCTCTCTAGTTGCACTAAGAAAAAGCCATGTGACTACACAGGGAGGAGGCAGCCATGTGCAACCCAGGGGGAGACCCCTTACCAGATCCCATCCTCTCTGGCAACTTGATCTTAGATTTTATTCTCCAGAACCATGGAAATGAAATTTTCTTGTTCAAGTCACCCCACCTATGATATTTTGTGATAGCATCTCACTCAAGTAGATTAAGACAAATTATATTTCAATTTAAAAACACTTTAGTTGCTGAGATGTAGCTCATGAGAGAGCACTTTACTAGTACTCATGAGGTCCTGGATTTGATTCCAGCACTGCAAAAAACAAAATTAATTATGTGGACATTTGAAGCTGCAAAATAGATGTACTTAAATTTCAAATTTGCCAAGCTTCCTGGTAGCAAAAGTTATAAAGGAAGATGCCATCAGTTACATACTTATCAAAAGGGAAACATCTAGAAATCAGAAGAACCAAGGCTTTAAGTGGCTCAGCACGTTCAAAGAAATATCAAATGAGAGGCTGATATTAGAGGTACTAGAAAATACTGAACCAGTGAATCTGTCAAGACAGGAGGCATTAACTTTTCCTGCAGGAAACCCGTAAGCAGTTAGTTATGGGGCATGAAAAGAGGATGCTTCTGGCCTTTTACCCAGAAGCCTGTGGGCAAGTTGAGGGCATTGTTGTTGAGAAGCAGTGGGAGATTGTGGGGGAGCTAGGGTGTGGGGAAAGTTAGTGTCTTTGGCCCTGAGTGTGAATGCCTCCTAAACCAGCATCATTCTGGCAGCACCATGACTGCGGAAGCATCCACTTTATGTTGCATTGGGTAGCATTAAGTTTTCCTTGCCTTTTTAAAATTTTTATGGCTCTGGCAAGTGATGATTTTTATAAAGCAGCATAATAGTGCTTTGAGTGTAATTCAGCTTCCTGAGTTAATGGGAAGACTCCAAAGCTTTAGATTATCATTAAAAGCCTAGCCTACCCTTCCCGAGAACCAAAAGACAAACGTGCAGGGACAGACAGAATTTATTGGCCAAGGCTCCACCCTTTGGTTTACTTTTGTCAAGTAAATGCTGCTTGGTTTCAATTCAGATCAAAGGAAAAAAGTAAAATGAATAAAAATGAAATAAACCCTGGAATTTGGCTATGTTAGTCCTGCAACACCAGAGTGCGCTGTTGTGCTGTGGGAGCCAGCAGCCACCTTGTCCTTGCACTGTGTCCTCCCACCTCAGGTGCCTACCAGGGGAGTTCAGCTGCTCTGGGTTCAGAGACACTCTGAAACTTTCAGAGTTCATACCAAGACCCAAGGTTCATACCAAGACCCAAAGTTAGCAAGTCCTTGCAGATCCCCTTAGAACAAGAGGTGTAGACCTGTGCCGACAGGAAGTTGTCTGCCCCCAGCGTTTGGCCCACTGATCGCTGGTGTGACACATGTAGGCTTAGTCTGACTCTTGGCCTGGCTCTCTTACTCTTCTCAGCCACATGGGGAGTAGGAAAGACAGCACATAGAAGTGCCAAGGCCAGCAGAGCAGACCTATTCTCAGGAGCCTGGGGTGTGCTCGTCCACTCTCATAGGAGAAGCTCCTGAAGAGGCAGGTCTCATGCCACAGAATCTGGGGGTGCCACAGTCTGGCACAGATCTTACCTCGCTTCCAATCCTAGTAAAAAGGCGGTTCTGACTTCACTATGACTCCCTATCCTTCCATCCCCAAGCGTCCTTCAGGTCCTCTTGTGATAGGGTCTGCTGATCTAGGGCACAGTCACTTGTTTGGGGAGGCCTGTTTAGTTTCTGGGGTGGCCTGAGTGGAGCCATGTGTGTTGAGCTTTTCAGGAATTGGAAAGGTCACTACAAGGATGGATCCTGGAGCTTTAGAACTGGAGAATCATAGGCTTTGTGATGCCCAAGAGCCCTCTGTGTCACTGGAGACATTGGGCATAAGGAAGTTACAATTTCTGCGCCAGGTCCCTCCTCTCTCTAGTTTCCAGTACCACGGCCTGTTGCCTCTTTCCTGTGTCTGCTACATAAGCAATCTTTCCTTTTCTTTTTTTTGCTTTGGGTTTTTGTTTGTTTGTTTGTTTTGCTTGAGATCTTGCTATGTATCCCAGGCTGGCCTTGAACTCAAGATCCTCCTGCCTCAGCCTCCTGACTGCTGGAATTACAGGAGTGAACCACTATGCCCAGCATTACAAATGATCTTAAAGAAAGATCTTTCCCCTGAAAGGAGAAGAAAAGCCCCCCCTCCTCCCTGATTTCTCACACTGCTGAAAATGTGCTATCTGCTAGGAACATGTGGCTTTCACATGTGCTCTCTCTACCCCTTTTTCTCCCTCCTGCCTCCCAGGACACTAAGGTTGGACCCATGGCAAGTGGCTCTTCACCAAAAATTAAGGAAATAGAATTTGAACAACCCCATCTTGGCAACCTGACAGAACACAACGTGATGCTGTTGCCTTTGACCAGCAGAACACCACATCTCCAGAGACAATGAGTCAGGCTCTTGAAAGCGACCAGTCACCTAACCAGATGCAGGCTTTTGAGAGAAGGACTGTTATACTTCTGTTAGAGGGACTATTAATAATGACACTGGGACAACAGTGATAAACTGGTACAGTGCTGAGCCAAGCAGAGTGATCACATTAGCGATGATAGTTGCTGTCTGTTTTGTCGTCTCTTCCCCATGTGGGGAGGGGGCTCAGAGAGTGCCCTGGGGGCTCCCACTCCTAAGGATGACCCTGGTCAACTTGCCTGAGCTCACCTTAGTTCCTTCCCAGAAAAGCTGGAGAGTGCTCTGGGGCCTCCTCAAGCATGGTAGCTGATGGCTCTTCCTCCTCCAGAAAGACACTCCTAGCAGGAGCCTATCAGCAGAAGGACTGCTAGCAGAGCACAGTGCTCACCCTGCAAGAGCTGATATTCTCTGAGGGGTGGGCTCTGACTCTGGCAGGGCCAGATCTAGCACTGAATTTCTCCATCAAGCAAGTGCCTTTCTTGCTTGTGTACCCACCACACCAATTACCCTAAATCCCTTCCTAGGTTACCAGGCAGGAGCCTTAAGACTTTACAGCTCAGATCAAAGACATTCCTGGGCTGTGTCTCCTCCAGGACCCCCTCTTCTGGGCTCTCACAAGTCCTGTGCTCCTGAGAGTGTGTGTCAGTTATTGTGTGCTGGTTCTTACCAGCTCTATCTCCTATTTGCTGGTCATATTTCAGAGCCCAGCACACAGCTGACTCTCTGGGGGAACCCACCCACTTTAACTGGCTCAAGGAGCCCATGGCTGCAGATCCTTCCCCAACATACATTTGTCTGAGCTTTATGGAACTTTAGAGACACAGCCCAGTGGCTCCTCCTTCCTGGCCTTTCAGAGGGTTGAAGGGAGGAGCCCTGTGTTTCAGAATCCATTCCTACCTAGTATGAAGGCCACGACATAGTTGGAGATCTGGCCCATGCCCACTATAACAAATAGCACAGTGAACATCTCCCAGTTGATAGAGAAAATCTGCAGAAAGCTGAATCCAGTTTGCACAGCCATGGTTGCAAAGAGAATGTTCTTCCTGCCAAACCTATGGAACACAACATAACATAAAACATGAGATGTACAGGTAGCAGCAAGGTGGTAACTCAGGGTGTGTGGCAAGCTGCACATCACTGCACTCTCAGAGCTCAGACAGATTTTCAACCTGACACCTCCTCCCAGCTTCCTCCCAGGTGAGGCCTCTGACACCCACCTGCCCACTACATTTTGTGATTCTAAGCTTCCTGTGCAGACCCCTCATCTCAAAAAACACTGAGCAGATTATGCAAAGACCACGTGGAAATCTGCTCTATAGAGTGAGCCACAGGTAGAAGCTGCCATCACACTTCTGAAAGGGGGTACAGCACAGATTACAGATACTTCTTAGAAGAGCAACATGGGAATTTTGTAAGCCCAGAACCAAAAATCCATCGAAGGTAGTGGGTTTTTGTTTTGTTTTAGTTTTCTTTGGTTTTGGTAGGATTGGAGTTTGAACTCAAGGCTTTGCACTTTCAAAGGAGGCACTCCACAGCTTGTGTCAGACCTCCAATCCATTTGGCTCTGGTATTTTAGAAACGAGGTCTCAAGAACTATTTGCCTGGGCTGGTCTCGAACCAAGATCCTTCAGATCTCTGCCTCCCAAATAGCTAGGATTATAGGCATGAGCCACCCACTCAACCACTGGCTGAGGGCAGTGGTTTTTAACCTTGGCTGCACTTAGAATTGCCTCAGAGCTTAAAAAATATACTAACAGTTCCTGACTCAGAATTTTTTTTTTTTTTACTTTACCATGGTGCAAAAGTGATAAACATTCAGTACAACCTTACTTCTTATTTGGATCTTTTCCCAGGGCAAGGATGTGCAGTGTGAACTGTCTTTCAGTGTTGGGCAATATCAGTGAGCTAAGGACCCCAGGCGTCATGAGACCACAATAGGAAACAGCCAGTGCCTTACAGTGTGCTAAGCTATGATATTCAGTGTTAGGTGTACTTTCGACTTAAGATATTTTCAATGTAGGGTGAGTTTATTGGGACACAACCCCATGGTAAGTCAAGGACCATCTGTACTGATGTTACTGTACCTTTTTTTGGTGGTACTAGAATTTGAACTCAGGGCCTTGAACTTTTTGGGCAGGCACTCTACCTCTTGAGCCATGCCTTCAGCCGCTTTTGCTCTGGTTGTTTTGGAGATAGGGTCTCACTTTTTGACCAGGCCAGCCTGAACTGTGATTCTCCTATTTTAAGCTTCCCATAGTTGCTGGAATGACAGGCGCCTGACACCATGCCAAGACTTTTCCCTGTTGAAATGGGATCTTGCAAATGTTTTTTGCCTGACTAGCCTGGAATCACAATCATCCCAATCTACCTCCCAAGTAGCTAGGATTACAGGCATGAGCCACTGGTGCCCGGCTTGCTGTAGCTATTTGTTTTTTTTTTTTTTAATAGGGTCGGTATTTATGTCTGAATGTCTCAGCTGTGGTCCTCCTATTTGTTTCCCTCATAGCTGGAATTACAGGTATGAGCCACTGCGTCTGGCTGCCACTCCACTTCTTGAGAATCTCTTTGTCTGGGATGCAGTTTGGGTATTGGGATTTTTAAAAGTTTGCCAGAAGAGTGTAAGGTGTAACTAAACTTGTAAACCACTGCTCTACAGAAGGTGTTGCTCTCAGTCATCCTGTTAGTGACACTATAGTTGGTGTAAGGGCTAATTTCACATTCTGGCAGTGACCAATCGCCAGGATGGAGCACAGGTAGGATCAGAACAGGCCCTAATCCCATTTTTCAAAACTAAAGGGTCAGGCCATTGTCTCGATATTCCACTGGGTTTGTGTTACTTACTTACTTAATTAATTGCAGCACTGGGGTTTGAACTCAGGGCCTCATGTTTGCTAGGCAGGCACTCTTACTTCTTGAGCCACTCCACCACACTTCTTTTGTGATGGGTTTTTTCAGGATTGGGTCTCTCAAACTATTTGTCTGGAGCTGGCTTCAAACCATGATTCTCCTAATCTCTTCTTCTTAAGTAGCTAGGATTATAGGCATGAGCCACTGGTGCCTGGCTGTGCTATTTTTATTTATTTATTTTTTTGAGACAGGGTCTTGCTAACACAACCCAAGCTAGTCTAAAGCTTGCAATCCACTTGTCTCCACCTCCTGAGTGTGGGGTGACAGGCATGGGCCACCACTCCTGGCTTCCCACTAGACTTTGATGCTGGGGGAGGGACAGACATTCCTCTGGGAAGCCCTCCCAACACTGTAATTTAGCACTCCAACCTTCTCTGGCCACCACAGAACATTTGGGGCCAGTGGAGCATATCTGGAGTACTGCAATGCCGTCTCCTGCAGCCTCTGAATTTCAGGAAGCCCAGAGCCAACTAGGGTCAGCTCTGCGGCCCCAGGGTTCAGCAAAGGCCCAACCTTCAGGCCCAGGGAGTGCATAGCTAGTGCTCACTGTCTGGCCTAGCTCTGGCTGATGTCCTCTCCCTGCTCCCTACACAACTCATGAGAGTTGGGGGTGGAGCGGGGGACAAAGGTGATGGTAGCATTGTGTTCTGTCAAGGGATTTGTGGCATAAGGACTCCACTTTCCGGTAGGGTCAGGTGCCCTTCAAACCAAAGCCTTGGAGTACAGGTTGGGAGACCGGAATAAAAGTGGGTCCAGACTAGAGTGCTACAGGGCAGGATGAATAGGAGACATCAGTGCTCCTCCTATCACTGACTCAGTGGCCTAAGAGTACTCCCCCTCTCTGTGCAGAAACACCAGGAATTCATTTAGTCCAAACCCAGGATAGACAGTGAATAGATAAGGGGCCCACTCCCACCTTCCTCACCCAGTGTCCTTACCTGTCAGACAGCTGGCCAGACACGAATGAGCCAAAGAGCACGCCTACAAAGAACAGGGAGGTGGTGAGGGGCGTCTTCCAGTCATCTTCACACACCAGATTCCACTGCCAACAAGACAGGCGAGCATGAGCACAGCCATCCAACAGGCCCAACCCCAGCCCTGCTCAGCTCTGAGAGACCATTAGATTCTGCCAGGAATGCTTTCCAATTTGTGCCAGGCTGTCGCCCTGTGCCAAGGGCATATGCCTTGCGGCTCTGGCCTTGACTCCTAACTCTACCATTCGCTGGGACAAGTAACCTGAGGCATGTCATGCCCCCACTGAGATGTAGCTTCTTCTTCTGACAGGGAGGGTGATGGCTTGGTCTACTTCCATTATGAAGCAAGAAGCCAGATGAGGCTATGGCTATGACTGGTGACCCCTCGCAGTATGAAGCAAAGGAGACCCAGCCGCCTTAAGAGGCCACCCAGCATGGAGGAAAGGGGTTTGAAAAGCCCAAGGGATGGGGTGAAGGGCATGGGCGCTTGGTCCAGGGGTAAAAATGTTTGCTTGTCCCCCCTCCCACCCCCTTGAAAGCACAAGTGGTCCCAGGAGCTCTGTGAATATTTTTAGAGCAGACTCCTCTGGGAAGCTCGGCACTCCTGGTCTACTCACACCTAGACCAAGATCTGGGCATGATCCAGGACTCTAGCAAGCTGGGACCTACCCACCCCTCTCCAGGCTTCCCCTCTTCCCTTCCTCCACCTCTCCACTCTCCTTGTACCCTGCCTTCCCAGCAGTGTGATCCCTCCCATGCCTCAGGGCCGGTAGGCCACTATTGCTTTTGTAACAAGTCTCTGCTGGTAGATCCATAAAATGAGAGTTTCAGACACTTTTGGTTCCCAGCTCTTACTGAAGTCAATTCAGCAAAATCTCAAGGGAGGTTGCAAAGACTTCAAGTGCATTCAATGCCCTTACATTTATTTTTTAAAAATAAGCAAATGCTGCCGGGTGCTGGTGGCTCACACTTGCAATCTAGCTACACTCAGGAGGCAGAGATCAGGAGGATCGTGGTTCGAAGTTAGCCTGGGCAAATAGTCCCTGAGACACTATCTCGAAAAAACCCATCACTAAAATAGGGCTGGTGGAGTGGCTCAAGGTGTAGGTCCTGAGTTCAAACCCCAGTACCGATAAATAAATATAATAAGCAAGTATCTATGAGCATTTGGGGCATGAGGTGGAGGTGTTGCTGTCTGTGGCAAGATCACCCCTTACCTCCCTTGCACCCCCAGCTCTCCTCCAGTTCCCCTGGGCGGGGTGGGGGGGGGTTGAGGGGGGTTCCTGCTTCCATGGCCTTTGCAAAGCAGTTCAGTTTATTCCTAGCACCTGCCCTGAAAGTGTAGCTGACTTAAATGAATTCTGGTGTTTATTCCACACCTCATTTTGCAGCACAGAGAGGTGTTTCTAAAGACACACAAAAAAATACAAACCAAAAATGCTAAAGGCCCTCAGGCAAACAGAAAGTCAAGGGAGGCAGGTTATGAAAACCAAGCAGAGGTGAAGCTGAATCCGGAGTCCTGCCCAAGGGTCTTCCCGGGCCAGATCGAAGTCCAGCTGGGATAATGCAGCTCTGATTATCCCAGCTACTCAGCTCCCCGAAGGCCCACAGGACCCGTACTGACCAACTTGCCTCGCGTGCCTTCTTCTGAGACCTGAGCATGCCCTATACATTTCACAGAGTGCTCTGTGATGGGGACAATAACGTCCTCAAGAATTCCCCTGTCCTAGGGACCACAGCAAGAGTCAGGGAGCCGTGCCCACAGGCTCCAAGCCACATGCCCAAGCACAGCTCTGCAGAAGAAAACAACATGGGTTAGAAACCCCAAACTCTGCCCCCAGACAAAATCCAAGGGCCAACCTGCTATAGTTTGAATGTCCCCACCAAAATCCATGCTGAAATTTAATTCCATTTTAAGGTCTTAAGAAGGTAAAAACAATCCAATCACGGTATTTGGAGGTGGGGAGGTAATTAAAGTTAAGTAAGGCCACAGGATAGGGCTCTAATCCAATGAGAACGTGACTTCATAAGAAGAAAGCCAGGCATGGTGGGGCATGTCTGTAATCCCAGCTATGAAGGAGGCACAGGTAGAAAGATCTTGATCCATGGCTGACCCAGGCAAAAAGCAAAACAGTGCTGGGAGCATGGTCTCATAGCACAAGGCTCTGGGTTCAACGTCCAGTCCAAAAAAAAAGAGGAAGAGGAGGAGAAGGAGAGGAAAAAGGAGAAGAAAGACCTAAGTGATCAAGTTTCCTCTCTCTCACCATGTCCTGCGTTGCCTTGGGACTCTGCAGAAAGTCCCCATCAGTAAGAAGGTCCTTGACCTTCCCAGTCTGCAGAATCTTGAGTTGAATAAGCCTTTATTCTGGTATTAAGTTATAATGACAGAAAACAGACTAAGACTTCTGCGGTTCCTGAGTGGCCCCAGAGAAAGGGCAGTGAGCACTTTAATTTTGTTTAGTCAGGGTCATGTGCTCTTCCAGCCCACAGATCAGAAGCAGAAGACAAGACATGTGGCTGAATTAATGGCTATCTACCTCCAAAACTGACTGGACAAAGCTTTGGAAAAGGGACTGAGCCTCATGATGAGGAATGCAACCCATTTTTCAGAAGAGTAAACTCAGGCTACTCTGAGATTATGATTTTTCTAATGTCATAGCAAGCAAATGGGCATGCTAAATACCAACAGGGCCTCAGAGTCCAACCTTGAACCCGGGTCCTGCTTTGGCTATGAACTCCAAAGACTAATTTCAAAATGAGCATATGAAATACGGCTACCCCACACTTCTTTAAGGAATGTGACAGCAGGAGACAATTGCTCCAGGACTAGAGGTAGGAGGCCTCCATCGCAGTATTCAGCCTTGGGCAGAACCAAGAAAGTCTCAATCAGGCCTGGCAGAGATTTTGCCATGTCTGTCATCAACCATTGTCCTTTCACCTGCAGTTGAGCAGAAAAGTGCAATATTCCCAATACAACACCCTCTCTTTTGGGTTTTCAAAAATTTCCCTGTCAGGACCTTGACTTAGGGAGGACAAGCTAGGACTTGCTGTCTACAAAGGAAGGAGAAAGACTGTCAGATGTGGAGCCAGGCTTTGCACGAGTGAAAGAAATGAACAGGGATGTCTACCTAATCTGCAGACCTGCAAACTGAAATTGCAGGACCCTTGTTCAAAAATTTACAATTTCAAAATGTGGATAGAAGAGCACTGGGACAAAGGGTGTGGCTCTGTGCGACTGCATGGGTTGGATGCTCATGAGCTGGTCCTGGCAGTGGGTCAAGCCTGATCTCCATGAGGCAGGAGGTTTTGTGGTGTGTGTGTGTGTGTGTGTCTGTTGTTGTTGTTGTTGTTGGGGAATGAACCAAGGGCCCTGGGTATGCTAGGCAGGCACTATACCACTAACCACATCCCTAGCCCTTTTGTTTTTATTTTGTTTTTGAGATAGGGTTCTCTTTAGCTTTGCCTGGACTGGCCTGGGACCCATGATCTTCCTGTTTCTACTTCCCAAGTGGCTGGGATCACAGACATGCACCGCCATTCCTGGCTACAGGAAGGACTTCTGAACTGGGGTGCTGGGAATAGTGAGGTAAGGGTCAGCCTCCCATTACTCCCCTTTCTTGAGGCTGTGCAACCACAGCTCTGTGTCTTACTTGGCTCCATGAAGAGGGCTTCTTAGGAAGCCCTGCCAACAGCATTTGTACAGCACAAAAGGAGGCCAGCCATGACTACACAGTGACCACTTTCCCCAGGCCCAAGCAGGATGCTGTCTGCCTTTGAAGACCCTGGTGAAGGTAGTTAGACATCATGCCTGCCATGGCTGATCTAGGGCTGGGATTTCCCTTGGGGAGTTACTGTGTCAAGGCACATATTTGGAAAACTGTGAGGAGCCTGGAAATAGGACACAAAAGTGCCCAAAAAAGTTCCAAGTTGACTCAAGGGACTGGAGTCCAACAAATCAGTTGTCAGCCCAAAGAGAAGCCCTTTCCTTCAAAGGGCTGTTCTTTAGAAAGCCCGGCCCTATCTGCCCAAGCCCTTTAGGATTTGAGGGGTGTGCCTTGGGAGCCCCATTAGCCAGGGCCCAGAAAACTCCCTGTGGTTAACAATCTCATGGGAGATCAATGGTCTCCATTGGAGACCATCTTTCTCTTAATGGGATAGAATTGTCCCTGTGGGTCCCTATACATCTAGGTACTCACTGCACACAAATACACACATTGCCAGAGGCTCAGAGGCTTACAGTCGATGTCCTGGTGAGGAGCTGGCTGGCATTGCTTTAAGCCAAACAGTAACAATTTCAAAACACAGCCTACCCTTCATCTCTGAAGAAACCATGGAACATGGCAAGCAGCTGGCCTAAGTTATGCAGGAAGAGAGGCTTTGGGTGTGGGCTCCCTGATCACCAGCGTCTCAGACCAAGGGTCACACAACAGAGTAGAGTGAACTCCATGTAGCTGGGCCATATGCCCTTCAGTTCTGCTTCGAAAGACAAAAATCCAACTCACAAGGTAATAGGGACGGAGGGTCACTCTAGGCATAGAAGAATGTGAGTCTCGTACTGTTGAAATGACTTCCAACAGTAACAGTAACAGCCATGACTAAGCATCTTGGATTATTTTGTGGGTTCTCAAAGTTGCCCTGTGGGATGGAAACTCCTTTCATCCTCATGTTACAAATGAGTCAATGAAGGCACAGAGCAACGAAGTGACCAGTCCATGCTCTCTTAGTGGATTGGTCAAAAGAATTGCTTAATCATTTGTCCCAATGACATTGAGTCCTCCAGGCCAGGCTATGGGTGGGCACAAGACACGGTTCCTGCCTTCAGAAAGCTCAAGGTCAAGCATACTTCATGGGAAAGATCAGGTGTGTAGATATGCAAACAGAAGCCCAACATGATGGAACGGGGACTGTTCCTGAAAAATCTGTTGCAGTCATGTTTTACATGGCTTGTAATGACACAAGGCTAGACACATGGTTGGATGCTGAACAAATGCTGAAAAATTAGAACAAAGGAAAATGAGTATGGGCTGGATACAGTGGCTCATGCCCATAATTCCAGTTCCTCAGGAGGTGGAGACTGGGGGAATTGAGGTACAACGCCAGTCCAAAAAATATTCAGGGCTTTGGTGGCAAACCAACAAATATTCAGGGCTGTGGTCCCAGCCAAGAGGATCATAGTCCAGGATGTGAGACTATACCTGAAAAATAACTAAAGCAAAAAAAAATTAGTATATGGCTCAAGTGTAGAGTGCCTGCCTAGAGAGTGTGAGGCCCTGAGTTCAAACCCCAGTACTGCAAAAAAAAAGTAAAGAAAGCAAAACAAAAGAAATAAGTAAGAAAAATGTGTGGTTCTGGCTGGGCAGCATCATGCACTGTACTTTGAAAATCATCTCAACCTTGAACGAGAGTAGCCAAAGTCTCCAGTTTTAGCCATAAAGGCTATAAAGATAAGAGAATCCACTCTGCCCTGCCTAGAAGGGAAAGCTCTGGAAGGCATCCCAGCATCGAGCAAAGAACATGGGTTTTTCCTGGATTCTGCCACCTCTTATGGTGTGACTCATTGGCCTCTCTCAACTGTTTCTTCATGTTTTAAGAACTACCAGTAACTCAGTCCTGGGTTTGTTGTGCACATTGGACAGGACGTTGAAAGTGGAGTATCTGACACATTAGAGGCTTCTGAAACAGTAGTTCCTTTCTACTAAACTAAGCAAATCATGACTTAAAATGGCAACGGATAAATAATCAAAACATTTTATACTTTAAATCTAAGTAAAGAGATTCTTAGAAATAAAAATGCCTCATTCAATTCTTAGAAACTAGAAAAGCTCTTACCACAAGGTACAAAATCCTTTTATAAGTGGACTTTAATCCCAGAGATGACTGTGAATGAAAAATTAGCAATGGTCCATTTAAGAATGAAAAATGAGTCTCTATAGTGTCCTCTTATGCTTGGTTATCATTCACTCCGGGGGGAAATAAGAAGAAATAGTTAATAACAGAATGTACATCCACCCCAGTTCCTTCTTTATAACTTGGTTGTGACTTAAGGCTGGAAATTTCTTGATCATCTGCAAAATAAAACAAACAAACAAAAATAATAAAAACTCTGAGTATTTAGTTCTTTTTGTTTACAACCACTTTATTGAGATATAATTGACATAACACAGAATTCACTCTTTTAAAGTATACAGTTCAACAGTTTTAAATATATTCACAGAGTTCTGCAACCATCAGCACCATCTAATTTTAGAACATTTTCATCATCCCTGAAAGAAACCCCAAGCCTATTAGCTGGCATACCCCATTCTCTTCTCTGCCCAGCCATTGGCTAATCTATTTTCTGACTATGGATTTGCCTGTTCTGGACATTTCATAAACATGGAATCATACAGTATATAGTCTTTTTGTTTATTTGTTTGCTTGCTTTTGATTTGTGGTGCTGGGATGGAAGCCAGGGCTTTGCACATGACAGGCGAACATCCTCAGCCCAATATGCAGTCTTTCGCTTAGCACAACATTTTCAAAGTTCATCCATGCTGGTGAAGCATGTACGAGTACTCCATTCATCATTATGGCTGAATAATATCCCACAGTATTGGATGCCAGTTTAATGTGTTTGAATAGATAGACATTTGGATTGTTTTTACTTTTTGCATACTGTGAATAATGCTGCTATGAAA